AAAGAGTCAGACACGACTTAACAAGTAAACAACAACAACAAATATGCTGAATGTTACATTACCAAATGCCTTCTTCCATCTTGCTCTGCTTTAAGCTATAAAGTTTATGTTGTCTTCAAAGGAAAGTAACATAAACAGCCAATATTAATTTATGTTTAAAATGGATGGCCTAATATTACAATATGCAGATTCAAGGAGCTTCCTGAATGGGGAAATATTGCATAGAATTTATATCCAATAAAGAACTGAAGACTTCTTACCTGTATGCACTGACTATAAGGACCAATATTGGCAGGAGCCCAATGAGAAATGCTCTGTACATGCATCACCTTCTTCTGGGAACAAGGTTCATCAGAGATCATCTTATCATACTTTAGTGCAAGGCAGTCCATCTGAAATAGCAGGTCTTCCGTCAAGGGAGTTTCTACACAAACCCTGACATAACAAAATAAAAATGTATTGACAGCATTTTAATGACTTTACAGAGTTCTGGTTGCTTATGCTATTAATATTCCTAGCATTGATACCAACAGGGCGGGGGTGGGGGACTGAGAATGAACAAGAATTCTTGAGACCTCAGCCAGGAGTCTCACTTGGTCCTCGCTACTTTCCCAGTTTCCCTTCAATCTAATCTCTGCTATTACCGAGAGAAAGAACAGACAAATGGAGAATGTTGTACCTTTGCCTTGCTTTTGGTACTATGGTTAGCTTAGGAAAAAACAAATGAACAGGCAGGGACAATAAAATACAGCAGAGCTAGGAGGTTGTAGCAGATCACAAATAGGGATGGTAGACTTGGTAGATATCAAATGTTGACAAGTGCTGATGCTAACTGGTTCAGACATTAACTTCTCTCCACATCCAAGTACCTTTGTGTAGCAAAACTCACAATGGGTTGGATCTAGATTTATTCCTTCCATTTATAGAAGCAGATGGGATTCAGCCAAAGTTCCTTATTGGGTGAGAGTCACAATGTCTCTAATTTCTTCTTCCTCTGCAGCCCTCAGTTCTGCTTTCCCTGATATTCCTGAGAATCCCCTAATTTTCTAGAGAAGCTTTTCATGGAGCACAGAGAGCCACAAAAAGAATAGGGGATTTGGCAAAAGCTGCCTACAGAACATCCAATTTGTAACGTTGGTCCGTGTAATTCTGGAGCTTATTTATTATGAACCTAGTGTTTGCCATTATTCCCAGAGTCCTTTTCAATATGCCGTGTTTTTTATAAGTCTTTCATAGTTAGATAAGGCCTTGCTAAACTCCACCAACTGAACGCTTTTCTCTTTGTCTTGCATCCTTTATAATATGTCTCAGTTGAGAAACAGTATTTTAGGAAGGCCAGAATGAGGATCCAAAGAAAGTCCTTCTCAACTGTTCTTTCACAATACAACACCAAGTCTATCAGGTCATATTGAAATGTATGCTTTTTATAGGTTTAAGCTCTATAAATGGAGGTTTAAAGCTTAACTTCATATTTTTCTGGCTTCTTCTCAGCCAATTATACATTAGGATAACACATGGATTTTGTATAAATTATGGGGCATGATATTAATAAGAAGCATGGATATTTATCTCAAAGAAATCTACAATGCAATGAGTTTCACAAAGATCCAATTACTAGAAAAGCTATTACTAAGTAAAGGGAAATATATCTTACTAAATGGAATAAGTAATAAAGCCCTCATCTGGAAAAAAACATCCCAAAGAGCTTCCTTCTTAAAAAAGATTTTATGTAGCATTAAAAATATTTTAATTGTACAGTCCTTATTTCATTATCTTTATATATTAAAATGCTTATTAAGAAGGCAGAAATGAAATATATTTGAAGATGGTTTTAAATTAAGAGAAATAAGAGCACTGCTGTGCTGAATTCCCTGTTAAAGTTCAAGATTGCAAGTTCAGTAGAATGGTATGCCTAAGAGTATTTTCCAAACCATATAAAAAGTATATTGGCTTTGAGGGGAAAAAAAAATCTAATGCATGTTAGGGAGATAGTATTATTTTCTAGCTAAAAGTTTACAAAACAGAGTGCAATATTTGATTTTAAGAGTCCTTCAGACACAAAATAGAAAAAGAAGAAACAGAAGGAAAAGAGAAGTAGGGAGGAAAAATTAGGCTAGTATTTAAATTATAGATCTTAGAAGGAATGGAAAATATAAACTAAAACCACTCCATAATGGCCACAAACTACTTCTATATTCTAAGACTGTTAGCTACTACAGACACAGCTTAAAATACTAGCAACTCCCCCCCCCCCCAATCCTTATATCCTAGTTTTTAAGCAATCTTTCCTGAGGAAAACATCTTGAATCTTCGAAGGGTTGAACACCAATTTGTAAACCCTGAGTTAGCTTAATCAAGGTATTGTGTTAAAACAGCTCTAGAAAAAGTAGTAAGAAATTTATTCTAAGGGTGATCTCCAAAATATTGTAATGATATAAATTAAGTCATTTGTTATTTTAATTGCATCATTTTCAAGGTTTTCTATTCTGTGTTTTTTAAGTTGTTGTAAACTGTCTTGAGTATTTCCAAAAAAAGAAATGCAGGGTATAAATTGTATAAAGTAAATAACAATACATTTAAACAGAACAGAACATTGTACAGGGCTCTTGCTGTACAGCAAAGCTAAAAAAGTGTGTAAAAGCTATTTGTTAATAGCACTGCATAAAGAACTGCAGGGGAAGAGTGGAGCCTTTCTCGTGCAATGAAGAGCATTCTTGTACTAATAAAATGTACTCTGCTTTTTCCTAATCACAGAAAGTGATATAACATTAAAGGAGCTGATGTTCAAAAGAAAGCGCCTCACTGCACATTCATTCTTTAAGAGAACACATTTTTTTAGCATCCATGTTTGCTTACCAAAGATCAAGGAAAGGTACAGATAGATGAGTTTGTTCAATTTGTTAATGAAATGATCCCATTGTAACAGAATTATCTGATAGTGGCAGGTTATAAGAGTAGTCTATTACAACGGAAACCTTTCAATCTTAATAAAATCAGGGAGGGACAAAGAGGGAGTACTTTCAGAGATAGCTAAGGATTGGCAGAGAACAAAATGGTTTCCAAGTTGGCCTCTATCATTCACACACAGACTCAGTTGTCCCATTGATAGTGTTATTATTTAGAACTGTAATCTTTCACTGAGTATTAGCTTTCTCTTTTGCTCTTAATTTTCAATCTGCATACCCTATGTTCTCACCTGTAATTAAATAAGCCTACTTTATTATTTTTGCAAATTCTGTGCTTGATTCTTATCATGTCAGTCTCTTCCATGCTGCCTTGCTTACTGTATTTGAAGGGACAAAAAATAAGGGAGCTTATACCCAAGTTAGAATGCAAAAGGAGTAGGAACAGAAAAATTCATAGGGAGGAGATGACAGACCATTTTGCCTGAATTTTTTAGCACAAGTTACTGTTAGATCCCACATGTTCACTAGCTAACTGATAATTATTTCAGAATTATGCTTCTATGAAGTAGGACAATTGGTTTGGGGAACATAATTCAATGGTGAAGAGCATGGACTCATTATGAACCAAGATACTACATTAAGAGACATGTATGATGAATGTAGAATAAGAGCATTAGGCTCAGCGCCTAAAAAGTGTTGTGTTTTTTTTTTAATTAGATATTCATATGCACTTCTGATGCAGTTGTTACAATAGAGAATAAAAGATCATGCCTTTGAAGAGAGATATACACAGAGGTGAAAGGAAGCCCAATCCAAACAGAGAGAAACCAAGTCTGAGGAAAAGTCATAAATAAAGCATTAGTAGCAATGAAGTATATTCCAGTGTACCATAAATATAAGGCAGCAGTAGTATGAACCTACCTCGCTGGAGGACACAAATCAAATGCTGTCATATAGACTGAATTTATCACAGCAAAATCGGTCATGCTCTTCATATACAGATGGACCAAAATAATATCTGTCAATGCCAATCCTTTTAAATTCATATGAGCTGCATGTGGAAAAATAATGCAGCTGTTAAAGACAGGAAATATTAGATTTGTACTAAATGATACCAAGAATATTTTTTTTGCAAAGCACTCCCCTTGCACCAAAGCATAACTGAACCTGAGGAACTTAGACAAATAGAAACTATTCTGGTCAGTATAAAAATTCAGTGCCAATTCCTGATATGGGTAGATACATTGAGTTTACTTCCTAAAGCATCTTGATTTTGTTTGATCTTGTACAGTAAATTAGTAAGAAGGAAGAGATGTTAAATTAAAGTGCAGCTGCCTCAAAGCAGGTGAAGCTATCGGTCATACCCAATTGTACTTTATGTAATATACAAACTACTAAGCACTTACTAAGAAGTCATCAAGTTACCATATAATTTTAATATCTGATTTTGTATCATTAGATATATCTTCTAAAGTTGTTTGTTGCTGAAGGTCAACTACAAGTCAAAATACCTATTTTCTCACATGGCAACATTTCTTTCTCTCCTGATTAAGGCTTTAAATCTTGTGGAATATTTTGTTAATTAAATAGACTTTGGAACAATTATCTTTTAAATTAAACTTTCCCTCAAAAAGTACTTCAGAAAGTTGCGGGGGGGGGGCGGTGGTTGGCTATAATAATAATAATATGCTGGATGCAATGATTCCATCAGTAGAATTCCACTCATGGGTGAGGTATTCCCACCATTTTCCATTGGATGAGAGAGGCCTTACTGGCTGACTACTCTTCACCCATCAACCTTTCTAAAAATTATTCCAGAAGACTGAGAAATCCTCCACAAAATATGCCATGTTTTGTTGGGGATTTCTGAAAAGACAGAATCAGCAGAAATCATCCTCCTTCTGTTAATGTAGATATTCATCAGACTGAAGGCTCTTCAATCTTGAAGGCAGTTCTTCAAGGATTAATGAAGGATTAAGGCCCATTATTTCTCAGTCAGGAACTTGAATATTCAAGAGCTGTATGTTCATCATAAAGACCGATCAGAAAATATGACTATTTTACCTAGCTCACGGCAGAGAATTGGAGAGAAAGTTGCTTGCTTCTGTCTACTTGACAGATTACTTCTTTGAATGTTGGAAGAACTTTATGAATAAACGTGCTTTAAAAACTAGAAGGCAGACTAGCAGGGAACAAGTTACAACCTAAAAGTCTTGTGGTCTTATGTTTTGCAGTTCATTAACTGATTTCCATTTTACAAAGCTTTTTCAAAGGCCATTAAAACAATTAACCTTGCAACAAGGCTTTTGTTACCTCCATCTTCATAACACAGTATGTAGCAAAACAGGAATAAAGACAGCCAGCCAATCTGACTTTTGTAAGGAAAGGTTTTAATACATACTTGAAGAGTTTCAACCAAGTTTGGCAAAGAAACCTGGGGTGATACTTTTAGATTGTTAGGACCATAACTCATTTCTTTTTGAGAAGGCAAAATAAATATCCACAGGAAATGCAAGTATTCCCTGAGATCAAAATGCACTAGTTCACCAGAAATGGGAAAGAATACTTTAAATGTAATTCATCTGCCAAAGCCACCAGGCTTCTTAGCCTCCAGTCAAAAATACAATGACTGTTTTGGTTTAATTCTAATAAAAAAAGAAAAAAATCAGGCAATGATGTCTATTATTTGGACTGGCTAGGGTCATGAAAATATTACAAAAATCAAGTAAGTATTTGAGAGCTCCAGTTTTTCAATTTACATATTATGCCCAAAAGATTTATGCAGAACATTGCTGCCTTTACCTACAAGCCTGATTACAACCTCCGTGCTGATTTCTAGGCTGTTAGGAACTAGCTTAAGGGCCCTTTAGGAAGCCTGCTGCCTTTTTGCTTTGCAAAATTGCTCATGCTTCCTTATCATTCTGTATTCAGTCATGAACTCAGCTGCACAAGCCAAATGTTAAGATTTTATGAGCCAATACATCAAAAGTATGCATGAACAAGAATACCAGCCTGCCCACTGCAGCCTCTGAGAGCAATTTCCATTTTTATGAATGAAAAAGATTCCTGCATAAACATTTATTTATTTAAAAGTGCAAAAATGTGGAGGGATTCAGAAGAAAATAGAAGCATTTTGTTTTATATGTCAATATCTTGTAAGGGTTTGATAGTAAGAAATCCAGCTACCACAATTCCCAAGACATCAATTCTTTCCTTGCATTAAGTACATAAATGAGATTTAGAGCTACTGACCTAATCCTAGATGCCAAAATCAACCACAGCAACAGCTTTCTAGAGAACTTAATTTAAAATTATGATAAAGGCAGTTTAGCTAACAGAAAGCTAACACAATGGGGAATGCATACACAAAAAGATAAAAGGAATGAAAACAAACTCAGCTGCCTTGTATAACCAGCACAAGGGAGAACATAAAGGAATTCAGTCTAATTACAAAGGTAAAAATGGATGGGTTTAGACTGCAAATTTCTGTGGCCAAATGTAGCAATTTTTGTATCATAATCTTCCAAGCTACCGCCCTACGATGGACAATCTAAGCATACTCCACCAATTGTTCTTGGCACTTGGTAGAGCATTAAAAATTAAAGTCTGCACTCTTATGCTCAGAATAGGAAAGGACAGGGCTGAGCGCTGCCCAGGAAGCCAACTGCCCATGGTGGCTGCCTAAATTCTCAAAAGAAACAAGATGCTCTCCACCAGCTGGGGAGCAACATGAGGAAAGGGAAATTGCCTGGTGATATTTCAACTCATAGCAAGTCACATAATTTATTCTCCAGAGCATTTTAGCCTTCTTTACTTCATGCAAACTAAAAATAATTAGTGCTTTTAAAATTGCACTAAACACATTTAATTGATTAAAGGACACTAATTACTGATTATAAATTGAGTCCTAATTAAAACATATCTCTTCTACATCTTATACTACATTTTAAAATGCCCAATAAACCACCTTGGAGCGAGGAAAGGACATCGTTTGCCAATTCTTGTATGCTTTTTCCTTCTGATGGATGAAAGTAAGCAATGACGCCTGTTATCCACTGGTAACCCTTCGGAGACTTCGCAGACAATTCAAGTGCCTTACCTATAAAGATTGAAAAACAAAGAGGGCAAAATGAGAGAGCCAGTTTGGTGTAGCGGTAAAGGCACCAGGCTAGAAACCAGGAGACGGTGAGTTCTAGTCCCACCTTAGGCACAAAGCCAGCTGGGAGACCTTGGGCCAGTCACTCTCTCTCAGCCCCATGAAGAAGAAGGCAATGTCAAACCACTTCCAAAATATTGCTAAGAAAACTGCAAGAACTTGTCCCGGCAGTTGCCAGGAGTTAACACTGACTCGAAGGCACGCATGCACGATGTCGTTTTCCTCTTAGTTTTACCTACGAAAAAACTTAAATGTCTGTTCTATGAATTATAATCTCCTAAAAGAAAAAGATCATTCTATAATATGCAACAATGTATAAAACAAACTGGCAAATTTATGGCTGAACTTAAAAGTCCATTAGAAGGAATTAATGCCCTCCAATATACCTATATTTATTGCAAGGATTCTGATTTATAAACACATTATTTTCTTTTTCTTTTCCAAATCAAAAGGATTGTACAAATCATAAATATCGGATCTAGGCTTCTATTTGATGAGTGGGTATATCCCTAAATGATCTCAATATGCTCTCACAAAAAACAAACACAGAGTGAAGGCCATTTCTATTTCTCTTGTCCCTTCCAGACCCTCACTGCAACCTCCCCAGCTATTCTAGAGAGCCTATAAATCCTCCAGAAAACAGTCCAGAAAGATAATGTCCTTCCCATTGAGCTAATAAAAATGTTCCACTAACAGGAGGAGATTTTCTCTTCACAATAGAATTTGTTGGATCTCACCATTATTTTATAACTTTGTCACTTCTTGAACAATACTATTATATTAATTACATGGTATATATCTCCATGTCCCAATGCAACAACTTGATGTAATGGGTAAATGCAGCCTTGGACACTGAAGGATACATAAAATGGGAAGTGATTTTATGAAGCAAAAGAAATGCTCCAGTTATGGATTTGGATTCAGTTATGCCCTAATTTGAATGGAAAAGGTTTCTATTTGTTCCGAGTAGGTCCGATTGCCTTCTTCATCTCCGATATTATTCTATTCAGACTGGGATAACCTAACCCTGACTAACAGATTTGGGGGGGGGGGAGAGAGAAGTAATAAGGAAGGCTCACCTAAAGCTGATTTGATCCCATCCACAGTGTAAGTGCATTGTGCTTACACGTTGCTTCAAACTATGATATATGCTGATCATATTAATGAGTGGAAATTTGCATGATTAATATAAACTGGTAGTTCAAGGAAGTGAAAATATTGTTTAAATTATAGAACATAGATTATGATATGCCAAGAAGAGCTTTGCATAATTCTACTGACTACATGTTACCTATTTTGGCATGGATGGATGGATGGATGGATGGATGGATGGAAGGAAGGAAGG